GATTAAATGCATCCTTGGTAAACTTAACAAACTAACTCAATATTACCAACCCTAAATTAATCAATTAATTGTCTGCTATTATTCAATGATTTTGACAAATTGCTAGCATGATTGTGGCAAGTTTTAAAAATGCAAGCACCACTCGCTGTCCTGAAGCAAAATATCTTAAAATTCCCGAAGATGGGAAAAAAGGAGGGACATAAGAGTCATGTTAGTTTTTTTAATAAATGATTACTGTTATTATTATTAATTGCACAATAATGTTGTTATTATTATTATTATTATTAATTACATTTACAGAATATGTAATAAAATGAAAATATGTCATTAAAATCATTCTAGAAATAAAATTAAATTAAATATTTTTTTCTAATGTTTTCGGGCTTTTAAACTCCGCTTATTTTACATAAGTGTGCAACATTACATTATTTGTATTGAATGAGGACAATTCTTTTAAAGTATGGCTTTGGATTTACATTATTACATAATGGCATCATTAACTATTTTAGAAACACTGGAAAATTCTCAATTTAGTATATCCACTTCATTGACTGCCCAGGATGTTAGCTTGTTGTCTCAGGGGACGGGCAGCCCAGTTAACGGTCCAGCCATTCAGCTGTACTTGTGGAGTAGAGCATGTAGTCAAGAATTTTAGGCACTGTGGTGGAACTGTTTTTTTTCAGATGAGTGATAGCGGAGGCTTGTTACACATGGAGCCTCACCAGAGGTTCAGAACATTGAGAAAAGAAAAAAACATGGCAGTTCTTTTTTTGGAAACCCTTAAACCAGAGACTGAGTTCAGATTGTGACAGAACGCAGGGATAGATGTTTTCGGATGGGACCCGGTTGTCCAGGAGACTACCGCTGGCACCGTGGTGACTCACCGCTTTGGTGTGAGAGTCCGAGTCACATCTGCCTGCCAGGTGTGTGGCATGTTTTGGCACGGGTTGCTGTGACTGTCAACACCTGATGCAGTGAGGCACAAAGGAAGAGCAACTTGGGTAAAAGATGATGTGTGCATTGTATAAAAAAGGTTTTTAGATCAAGTAAATAATGCTGAAAAAGTAACTGAAGCGAAAATACCATTTTCAAAAAAGTCAAGTAATGCATCTATATGTAGCTTTGTTTAATCGGGACATATGATATTGTTATTTATTTATTTATTTTTGGCCAAACCGGTTAATTTATTCAATTAAAACAATTTACCATTCTAATGCATACATTGACTCTACCTCTATGATGACGTAAATTTCTGATTCAAAATTCACTTTATTTATTTATGTATGGTATGTATGTATGTATGTGTGTATTTATTTGTTTGTTTGTTTGTTCGTTTCAGGGCTCACGTTAATGTTCATGTTTCCATGTCTTTTATTTTGAAGTTTGTCACAGTCATGTTTCTTGTTTTGTCATGTGCTCCCTCTGCTTCATTTGTTTTATTGTAAATGGTTTATTGTCTTGATTACTTTTTGGGTGTTTGTTTCTTTTGTGTCTGGTGAAATAAACTGCACATGGGTTCTCAACTTCGACTGGACATCAGTGGATAAAATGTGACAGTGTTTTGTTTCACTTGATGGTTACACGACATGACAGTTTTACAGTCATTAAAATAAAAAAAAACATTTGATGAAAATGTTATGGAAAATGAATGAACATGGAAAAAGAGCAACATTTTCACATGTGTTTTAAACAAGGCACCTTTGATTTCTTTCAAAACATTTGCATTTTTTATGGTGGACTGACTCTTTGAATAAGGAGCTCCAACAAACCGTTTCTTTAATTTTTATGTTTTGTGATGGGAGATTCGGGTTTTTGGACACAGAAAATAGGTTGGCTTTGCTGTAATCATTCAAATAATTTCAGCTCACACATGTGAGATGAAAGGAACAGGGGAAATGGGGTGAGATAGAGAATTTGATGAGGGAAAGAGCATGATGGCAGGTGTGTGGAGAATGAATCCCGAGGCATGGTTCCATGAGTTTACCTCTGTGGCTCCGAGCAAATGTGTCTGTAGCCCGATTGCAGGGTGTGTTTGTTTGTCAGTTAAGGGGCTATTATATAAGATTCAGCACCAGTGCAGGGCGCTCTATGAAGTGACTAATGCAGCCTAGAGGCATGACAAAATATGAAAAAAAATCAAAATGCAAACATGCAGAAGCATAACAGCCCATGATGAGGAAGTGACATCATAGAGCCCCTTTCAAATGCCATGGTCATTGCTGCTGTTAGCGCTTTGCCCATCATCATTGGATGGTAATTAAAGTATCTTTGTTTGAAGTATTCTCCACGTCTCCTCGTTCCTCGCGCCATGCTCCTCACAGTAGTGGTGCGTGACAGAAAACCGGACCAAGACAAAGTAAGCGGCGCCCCTTCTCCCCGTTTTTGTTTCCTCGTTTAATGTTGACCATGGAAATAGCCACTCGGTTCATTGCTCTAGCCCGTAGGGATCTCCGCTTCGTCGAGTATGCCTGGGAGTTCTGCGGGCTCGCCACGGTGACGGCTTTAGATGACCCCACCATCAACTCTCTGTTCTGGCATGGGGCCAATTACCATTGCCCCGTGGACCTCCCAGACACCATGGGACTAAGCTGGAGGGAAGGGATCCTCCGGTGTCTGGAGAGCGTCTGGCCCCGAGCAAGAACCAGCCCGCCGGCTGCTCAACAGACAAGTCCGCCGGCCATGGCACTTTCCAGTCCGCCGGCCGCAACATTCTCAAGCCTGCCGGCCACACCGTTCACCCTTAACCAAAGGAGGAGGATGAGGAGAAAAAGACTG